ATATTATACTATATATATATATACTACTATACTATATTATTATATTATTATTATTATACTAAATAATAATAATAAATAAAATTAAAAATTAAAAATTATTTTTTTTTCTTTAAGCCAATTAATTTACCATGAACTTCATATTTCCAGTTCCTGAAGCTTCTGTCCCAGCTGTCGAGATCTGTTGACTAAGGTCTGCAGCTGGAATAACTTTTTCAGCAAGAGTAACTCTGTAGTTCTCCAAGAACACCACCTTCAGTTTATTGCCAACTACAATATCATTATTCACCACATTTGCCACAGCACAAAAGAGACGAATAATCTGCTTTGCCATGTAATAGCCAGGTGCAGCCTTTGTGAAGAAAAAAAAAGGGCGAGGAAAATTATTTTTTAAGTTATTTTATTTACTGAGTAGATATATTTAAAAAGTTTAATTAGTATGGTGGAATAGGAGTAATACACCAACCTTGCCTCCAATCATGACTGTTCTTGGAACAAATGGACCACTTGGATCTCTCTTGATTCTATTGTATAAAGTAATGATATGGAGACAGTTTAGCAGCTGACGTTTGTACTCGTGGATTCTCTTAACTTGAACATCAAACATGGAAATTGGGTTTACTGTGATGTCATATTCCTTCTTGATGTAAGCTGCTAACTTCATTTTATTTTCCTGAAATATAATAAATGTCAAGTCAAGGTAAAATCTATAATTATCAATTCAAATAGAGTAAATAAACTACTTACAGCCATTCAATATTCATACAGCTTTTGGACAGGAAACCATAATATACTCATGAAGTAAGAATTCAAATACTGAACAATCAAAACCTTGCATGAAAAAATAAAAATTACTTCTCCACGGTACACTAGATCAACAGTCAACCTAATAATGAACTACATTTTATTTTTGATGTAAAAACTACAAATTGCTCTTTTATAAGTAAAAGTACTGGAAATAAAATCAAGACAGCTGACAGGTCTCCAGTTAATTACATCCTTTGCTGAAAACATGAATGACCAATATACTTTTAAATTTTTTTTTGTTTTTGTTTTTGACTAAGTATAAATCAAAATATATTAAGTCATCAAGAAATTAATGTTGCATTTTGGAACAATTTCATTAACCCCCCCCCCAAAAAAACGTACATCATGTATAATAGTTAAACGAACTGCCTAAATGTCACATCATTGTAACCTATATAACGTGTAAAGTTTAGTATACTCTAATCCCTTATAGTGATGATACACACACACGTGGAAATGCATTGTCGTGGAGAAGAACACCTTTCCAACTGACGAGTAAAGGGCATTTCTGATGAAGGGCTTGATTAAAACATTCCAATTGCTGACTATAGATCTCTGCACTGACAGTTTGCTGTGGACTGAAGAGTTCAAAATTAATTACTCTTTTGATGTATACCAAATGCAAAGTAACACTTCCTGTGGATGGGGTTCAGTTTTTTGTTGGTTTTTTTTGGGGGGGGGGGGGGTATAATTACTTACCTACATACATTA